GTGGGCATGCAGCTGTGTGAAAGTATGCCGAAGTAAAGGCAATATTTGTAAGGAGTAAATAATAAATGATTGGTCAAGAAGAACATTAACTGTAACCGCACACACTGAACATATAAAAGGCAACATAAAAAGTTCGGATATAAACGTCTGCTTAATGAGGCTGATGCAAATTCTGCTGGCTCGAAATTACTGCTCCAGTCGCATTATTCCCACAGGCTCCCTGAAAACATCACGCCTGCTTTTAACATACTAAAACTCTACATTCTGCCCACGGAGTGTATAGTTTCAAGTATAACTAAGACAATGGACAGTGTCCAACATAACAATTTTATAATTAATAACAGACCATTGTCACAAACCTTTTCAAGCTCACTATACGCCCCATCGCCGATCACAGAGGCAGGGAGGGCTAAGTTATGAAATGTCTTCGCCAGTTCGAAGACTGGGATCGTGAGTTCGAATCCCACTCAAGGCATGGATGTTTGTTTGTGTTTATTCTGCGTTTGTGTTAAGGTAGCGGCCTTGCGACGGGCCGATTCCCCGTCCAAGGAGTCCTAGCGACTGCGTATGATTAAGACACTGAAGTGGAAGGAAGCGTTCCACGGATGCCCTATGCTCCAAGTGGGATCAACAGGAATAGAAGACGCTATATCAGCTGTATCAGTCTCTTGGGGGTACGCGGTAGCGTAGTCGGTTAAGGCACTATGCTGCAAGCCGGAAGGTCGTGGGTTCGAGTCCCGATGAGGTCATCGAATTTTTCAATTGACCTAATCCTTCCAGCCGCACTATGGCCATGGCGTCAACTCAGCCTCTAACATAAATGAGTACCAGGAATCTTCCTGGTGGATAAAGGGCGGCCGGCGCGTAAGGCTGACAACCTCACCGCCAGCTGTGAGCCGATTGTTTAGAAAATGTGGGGGCCTCGACCTCTCAAAACCCGCTGCGCCTCCTCGGCCTATTAGAGGGATAGCTTTACCTTACCTTTACCTTTTATATAAGAGTTTTTGCTTGAAATCGTCAGTTTTACGCTACATGCAAGAAAGCAGCAGATATCAACATTCACGAATTGGAAATCTATAAGAAATAACAGAGCGAACGCATCAGAATTGTTATGCTATGTGCACATTTTAAAATTTTTATTCTCCTTTCGTAGCGTTCGGAAAGAATATTTGCAAAAATGCACGTACTGGCTTCACTGTGTATCTCTGTGCACTTATTCTCATGTAATAACAGATCTACATGTAGTTATATGTAAGTGATTTTACATTCTGACTTTACAAGACTTGAAAGTGTTCTTTTTTCCGAGCATATCGGCCGTGAATCGCTAAATGTTAATCTGAACGAAAGTTATAAATAAAAACGAAACAAGTATTTTACGTCCGACACATGTTATCTGCGCGTCTTCCTGTTTTAGAGATAATCAAACAAAAGGGAGGGACTGTACGAGAACTGTTACGCTATGCGTACGCTTCCTTACGTGTCAGTTTTACGTTCACAGCATTTCATAACTGTTTTTATTCACAATGGAATTTCGGGAAGCCCTATATTTTACGCAACTTACCTACTCACGGAGCTGAGCCCTTCTTGAGAAGCGGCCAATTCGGCATCTACTCAAGAATTTCCCAGCATTTTATGGAACCCGAAGGTTCATTACCGTGTTCACAAGAGCTCTCCACTGGTCCATATCCTGAGCAATATCAATCCAATCCATACCATTCCATCCTATCTCTCTAAGATCCATTTTAATATTTTCCACCCAACTACCCCTTTGTCTTTCCACTGGTCTCTTTCCTTTTGGCTTTCCCACCAATGTCCTATACGCATTCCTCTTCTCTCCCATTCGTGTTACAAGCCCTGCCCACCTCATCCTTCTTGACTTGATCATTCTAACACAGTTGGTGAAGAGTAAAAGTTGTGAAGATCCTCATTATGCAGTTTTAACTTTACGCAACACAATTTTAAAATCATTGTTTTTTTATTTCTCATGTATCTAGTAAAAAACACACCTAACTGTCCGTTGATTTCATGTAAACTACATATTAAATCCTGCCGTTTCAGGCATATGTAGTTTTTAAACATTGTTTTATATTAAGTTCCTATTTTTAATCACGAAAGTGTGAAACCCATTTCTTTACGGAAGTAAACATGAGTGCATGTGGAGGAAAGCTACAGTATCTGGCAGCCCCCCCCCCCACTACTCTCTTCATGCTTGACTCTTTCCACGCGCTACCCACGGCCAGAGACCACCAACACACAGCACGGCTTTATTCAAAGATGATTCGATTTACACTTCGATAATCGGTGCCTCGACTGGCCTAGGCAAGAGTCCTTTTTTCTAGCGCGTGAATACTCAGAAGACCGGTATCAAGACAAACAAACGAACATGACTACTGAAACTAACGATGAAGAAATAAAATATGACTGTACCCTCATTCACATTTGATTTCTAATATGTATATTGAACCTATTCGTTTAAGAATGGTTGAAGAAAACTGCCGGGCACTTATCGATGCCAAGGCAGAACTGCGAGTCCTTTGTAGATGATCAAACAATTAGGTAAAAAGTAAAGTTGTCCCTGTACTTAACTAAGCACTATGCCATGAAGGCGTATGGGGGAGTGGATGTATAGAACCACATTTTCTTGACCTCGAAACTAGTTGGAGGAGAGTGGTCAGCTTCACGCCCCGGCCGCTTTATCCTCGGGGAAAGAGCCCCCGGTACCCACTGAATATGGGTGGACCCCAGAGCCGGTCTGAACGACACGGAGAAGTGAAAATTCTTGACCCCAACGGGACTTTAACTCCGACCCCTCGGTTATCCAGTAGCTAGTCGCTATGCCGACTGGGACGTTAACGTGATTACTGTATCAACAGATTACAATGTCGACTTTGAAAGGATGGAAACAAAAGCAAAGGCTTTCCAATTGGTGGCTGATTTGCGAACACAATTAATAACAGCCAATCAAATAATACGTGAATTTAATTACTCCTACTGCGGGTATCATACAATTTTAAGAGAAATCAATAATGCGGAGAGCTAATTAATGATACTGCAGCGAATAAACTAAGATAAGGTAAAGCTATCCCTGTAACAGGCCTTGGAGGCCCATAGGGTTGTGAAATGTTGAGGATCCCACATTTTCTAGACAATCGGCTCACATGTGGCGGTAAGGTTGTCAGCCTTACGCGCCGCTCGCCCTTTACCCCCAGGAAGATTCGTGGTACTCGTTTTTGTTAGAGACTGAGTCGACCCCCAGGGCCATAGTGCGGCTGGAAGGATTGGGTCAATTAAAAAATCCAATGACCTCATCCAGAACAGAACCCGCGACTTTCCGGCTTGTAGCATTGTGCTTGAATCAACTATGCTTTCACAATACCTAGGCCTATTAAGTTAATAACAATTAACAAAGACTTCGATTCAGAAGTCAGAAGCATTTCACCACCCGCGACTTTCTGTCACCACAACTGACCCTTTCGCACACGCTCCTAGTGTCTAAAACGTTCTACATGTTCGTGTCATTGGCCCGAAAACTGCCTGGTTACAACAGCAGTACGGAGTTTAAGTGTGGTTTGGGAGATACCCCGCTAAAACACCGATTAATCTGAGGCGTTACGTTGTTTTCGCCCCCGCCCCCCATCCAGCCTCTAGGATATATTAATCTTTAGAACTGGTCGCGCTGGCTACCTGCTCTATCTTCTACTGCCGTGGTCAGTAGTTGATAAGTAAGAAAAAGGTAAAGCTACCCCTGTAACAGACCGTAGAGGCCCATAGGGTTGTGAGACGTCGAGGCTCCCACATTTTCTAGACAATCGGCTCACAGATGGTGGTAAGGCTGTCAGTCTTGCGTGCCGGCCGCCCTTTACCCCCAGGAAGATTCCTGGTATTCATTTCTGTTAGAGGCTGAGTCTACCCCAGGGCCATAGTGCGGCTCGAAGGATTAGGTCAATTGAAAAATCATGTTACCTCATCGGGACTCGAACCCGCTACCTTGCGGCTTGTAGCATAGTGCCCCAACCAACTACGCTACCGCGTGTTCCTCGTCAGTAGTTGATAATCATAAAATTGCCAGATAACTAACATACTCCATAGAGAAAATACCATCTGTAGAAGCTTACAGTCGCTCATATAGTGAAGAAATTCCCTTCTTGTAACCCGAAGATTCATGTTACACCACCCTCCAGTGGTGCTTATTCTGAGCCAAACGAACCCAGTCTCCACCATCCCCATCTATTTCTTTTTTTCTGGTGGCTAAAAGTCACCCTTGCTCAAGCTGATCTCCCGTTCTCTCACTAAATCTTTTTCGCTAATTCTTTTCTCCTGTTTTCAGTGAACCTAACCCACACAGACTCCAGGCATTCCAAATTCCGAATATGATGTCATATATCTGCTGCTTACGTCATTCGAAGCGATCCGAAACCAAGTCCGAGGTCCAGTGCTAACATTTTGTAACAGGCTGTTTTTTCTTTATGGCAAGGAGCGGTTAGTCCCACGCTTAACACCCATGCTGGAGGACCACCCCTTACTGGCTGTCCCCAAGCTGCTTATTCATTATATTCGCAGTTACCTCTCTATATCTCGATGTTGTCATGTCGTCATGATAAGGGCCCCATGCAAACAACTGACAACAGAACCGGTAGAAGTGAATGTTACGATTTTAACCCCACAAACTAAACTAAAGTAACATAACCTAGCCATGCATACCCAAGCCTAACATACCTTAATGTAGCCTTGCCTAGAGTAACCTAGCTTTGCCAAATCTAACCTCATCTCACCTGCATCATCGTATCAAAATCACCCCTACTAAGGGCTGAGCACTTGTACGCAATAAAAAACCCCACTTGAAACGTGGTTTCAGAATTCATGCCATCGTCTAATCACCCATTCGCAACGCCACTGACAGTAGTTACAATACCGGAAAAGGTATGACATCTGACAATATTTCGAGCTCCTGGCCAATAAACCCATTGATGGAATAGTAATCACAGTATTTTGGTACTTACCGCCGAGTGTCCGCTGTGAACACAGAACAGAAGACCGAGCGCCAGGACCAGCATCCAAGGCACCGAAGCCCGCCGCAGTCCCCACATGCTTCAGACAGCCGACCTGTGCTCAATGCTCCATGCTGCTTTGGAGTCTCTGCCCTTTTCCCCTCTCTCTCCACCCACCCGCACTAATACAACGCTCCAACGAGAGGCTGGGACTCTACACCAGCAAGTTCTGTCGCTTGCTGGCTGGAAATCACGAAGGGTTTTCTATTCCAAGTAGTGTGATGAAGAAAAGCTTTCACTAGTGTTGAGGGAGCAATCCGGCGAGAGACTGTTTGTTGCTTGCATCTGTTTTCTAGCGATTTTCGGTCTGCGAGTTTGTGTCGCGAGGCGTGAGATGAGGATTTAACCCCGCCCCGTCCGGCCGTAGTGAACACTGAGGCTGCTTGAAGAAGGTTCACGGCAGTCTGGCGGAGAAGTGCTGCAGCAGAAGAGATCAGAGCTCGACACACCGGTGGCGTAATGGCCAGCCCCGGCGTGCGGTACGTGTGTTTGTGTGTGTGTGTGTAAAGTGCCCTCTTTTTTTGTCTTTATGGGGTGGAAAAATATATATAGTGAAAGTGTGACAACAAAAATCCGTTGTGTTGTGTTACAGGTTGTTCGTATCGGTCTTGTGGTTGGTGACCTGCTCTTTGGCGGTGAGTTCACTGATATGCATGCTTCTTGACAACTTCCGCACTCCATTACCCTATGTCAAATTTAAGACAAAACTAAGGAAATTATACTTACCATATAACAGCGTTTTGGTGATATAATAGCGGTCTCTTATAAGACCGAGGAAGAGGAAATATTGTACCCCAAGGGAAATTAGTTTTACAAATATAAACTTGCTCAGAACCGTATTCAGTGACGGGGTTTGATGTTAACCATGCCGAGCTCACCAGTTCTGATACTAAGAGTGATTTTTGAGTCACATTGTAATATCCTGCTGTATTTCGCTTACAACTGCCGCAGTTGTTCATTGACCTGTAAGGCAACTCTATAATTCCACTTTCGCCCTGCCCAAATATGTACTCATACTCCATTCCTTATCGTTTCCATCAGTTTTGCAACAGAATATTGCTGAAAATAGCACAGAATCAGACATTAAATAAACTTAAATTTTAAAAGTTCTGTATTCTGATATATAACGCCGTATAGTCCGTTGAAAGTCAACCCACGTTTCGGAGAAACGTGCCGCCTCCATGTTCAGGGTCGAAGATTAAGCTAAACAAGAATCCATGCGTGACGCAAGTAGCAAGCAAATTTTGTTTACTCTTCTGTTCTCAATATAGAGGTGACATGTTCCTCTGAAACGTCGGTTAACTTTCAACGCGCTACACGGCGATATATCCCAGAAGACAGATCTCTTCGTACCAAACGCTGTAAGAACCTCAAATCATAAAAAAACTTGCTCATTGATTTCTGTCTTTTCTCTCCGAATATGGTTAAGGAAGAGTAGGGTCCATTCCAAACTATTGTTAATAAAATGCGGGTTGGATTGTTTTCACTAGTTTTCCAAACCCCTATTAAAGCAAGCGGTAGAACTCTTACTCCAGTCTGCCACAACTGGTCTCTCACTACAGGGCAGGAGAGAAGACATAACTATCCATCGTCAGAGCCGAATTGTAACCTCTGATTCCAGTGTGCCTGAGACCTCTAGATCTCGTCACTTGTAAACATTTCCAATTTTGTTTTTAGTTTCTACACGTTCATGTGGAATTCGTTTCCTCTTATTGACCCCCTTCTTCCAGCGAGAAAAACAGGCAAACCTACGTCGCCTATAAAGTATACTCCACTGCACTAATTTCCAGCTGCTTTGAGAGGAACAAATTGTCGAGCACAGAAGTGTCCTTATATGCGTCCGGCTTTGAGACGCCAACTAGCGTCCGGGAGCAGCATCCTTCTTGAGAAGCTACCAGTCGTTTATCTAGTCAGAAGATTACACATGTGCTACGGAATACGAATGTTCATTACCGCATTCACAACAGCCCCCCTCCCCCCAATAGACGCTTTACCGAGATAGCTGAATCTAGTTAACATATTTACGAGAAAAATGCTGTAGACCCCAGTTAAAAGTGTTTTATTGTTATCAGTTAGGCCCATACGTTGCACCACACCAATAGACATTAATAACATTTGGATGGGATATTCCAGTGCTGATATCGGATATTCTTATTGCGCCGAAACTTATATTTACACTACATTTGTACATATCCGATGTTATATACAGTAAATGACAGTGTAAATATAAGCATAAGGAACCCCAAAAGTTACATTTTCGTCAGTCTTTTTTTATGTTTTGCTGTAATTGCAAAACATAAAAAAAGACCGACGAAAATGTAACGTGACACCCTCTATCCTCTAAAGTTGGCACTAACTTCGCCGACAAGGGGCGGTCGCTCGGTCGGTATAGTTCGATTGCGGACTAAAACCACTGAGTTTTTAGTTTTTTTTTTTTGTAATTGAGCTTTCTCCTTTGTATATACACGAAATTAAAACCATTATTTTTTTTATTGCTAGTGGGATGGGACTAAGTCCCTTGTACTGCGGCCACTTCTGGCCTATTGTACAAACCCCAGATGATAAGTGAGGGTGATTGTGGAGCAAATGGTGGAATGAAGATTGGCAGGGGAAACCGAGGTACTCGGAGAAAACCTGCCCTAGCGCCACTTTGTCCACCACAAATCCCACTTGACCACACCCGGGATCGAACCCGGGCCGCCGTGGTGGGACGCCAGCGAATAACCGCTTGAGCTATGGCGCGGCCTTAAAATTAAAACCATGAGAAAGATTCACGCAATTAAGGGTGCGTGAAAGTCACCGCGGCCCGTATTTTTCTCACTGATGTTCTAGGCTGTGGATAATGAAGGAGCTATTTGAATGGAAAAATAGCGGCTCCGGTCTAGAAACCAAGATTAACAGCCATTGGGGTTCATTGCACTAATTTCGCCGACAAGCGGCGGGCGCTCGACCGGTATAGTTCGCTTGCGGACGATAGGCCACGGAGTGCATCTGTGAGCGCGCAGTGGGTTTCATTCTCGCATAGAGACTGGTGATTCCGTCTCCCATCTGAAGGGAACGTTTGAAATTAAGAAATCCACGCATTTGTGTTTTTTCAATATACAATCCCACTTCCATATTCATTACGTCACAAATGTGAGCTGATTTGTTCTGTCGCTCACTCCATAGGGGTAGGATCCTCCTTAAGAAGCTGATAGTCGTTCAGCTAGTCGGGGAAACTTCTCACCTTTTATAGAACCCGGCGGTTCATTATCATTTCGTAAGACTCTGCTTGTACCAGGACATATCGGGCTAATTTAATTTTGGTGCATATCGATGTAATATGGGTTAGCTCAGTCGGTATAGTGACCGACTACGGGCTGGATGGCCGAGGGTCTGAGTTCAATTCCTGGTAGGGGCGAGATTTTTCTCTTCACAGATTCCAGACCGATTGTGGGGTTTTAGTTAGTTAGTTATGGGAGAGGGTGGGTTACCCCATGCACCGCGACCAGTTTGATCTATTGTGCTTCCCTCTATGATATTCTACCAGTCTCTATACCCTACCGATATTGGTGCGTACCATCAGTCCCGACCGAGCCAGCTAGTTATCTACTGGCTTGGCGGTATCTATAATGCTTCCCGCATCTATCAGAGGCATTAGAGACTACTGTTGGGCGGGAAACGTCCTTGAATTTGGCTCAGTGACCTCCTTTGGAGATATGAGGTTCTTTTACGTGCCGTAAAGCTACGACACGGGACACACGGCTTAAAGTCCCTCCCGGAGGACTTGTTCCCTGAATTTTTCCGCCCTTAAAATTTCGACGACCTCCGCCGGGTTTGAACCCGCGTACCACGAGTCATGAGGTGGGAACGTTACCTCTAGACTACGGAGGCCGCTTGATTGTGGGGTTTACCCAGCTTCCTATCCAATGGATATTGTTGGTTCTTTCTCCTGAGGTAAAGCGGCCGGGGCGTGAAGCTGACCACTCACCTCCAGCTAGTGCCGAGGTCAAGAATACATGGGTCTATACATCCATTCCCCATACGCTTTCATGGCGTAGTGCTTAATGAGCCAAGTACAGGGACAAATTTACGTGTATCGATCTGGCGTTCTTCTTCTTTACTTGAGGCTCGTGTCGAACTTAACTGTCTCAAAATCGATTCATCTTATGAGTACATTTCTTTTACTCTCGCTCCCACTTTGGAGCATAAGGCTGAAGATCTCAGTTTCATTTATCACTTTCACAGACAGTAGGACTCCTTGGACGGGTGATCAGCTCGTTGCAAGGCCTCTGTCTAAACACAGGGCAACACAAACATAGAATAAACGCATGCACACACTAAACATCCATTCCTTGAGTGGGATTCAAACCCACGATCCCGGGTTCCGAGCGAGCGAAGACAGTACATGCCTTAGACCGCTCGGCTACCGTGAACGGCATGAGTTTAGCGCGCATTTCTGCTACATGATAGCCTGCAACCACCTGTTGGCTTCTCGGCACGGTACGCCCACTGGCGACCTCCTTCCAGTCTTCTGAACAGAACACCCCTAGCAGTCGCTGGGCCCGACCGGCCTGCGGATTCATTCACAAATCTCCCTCCTCTAAGCAAGAGGTTAAGTTCACGACCAAACTAGGCGGTCCAGTCCAGGCTTGACTGTTTACATTCTACGGTGAGGGTGACGGGACGCGAACCACTGATGGGGGAAATTATAAATGCATGTAACTTAAGAGGCGAGTAGGAGGAGGGCAGAGGCCTGTAAATAATTCATTTCATTTCTTACTTATTTGTATGCAAACTTAAAAGCCTAGTGAGCAACAACAACAACAGCAACAATGATGATGATGATGATGATGATGATGATGATGATGATAATAATAATTCAATTAAATTCTTTATTATTTATGCAAACTTAAAAGCCTAGTGAGCAACAACAACAACGATGATGATGATGATGATGATAATAATAATAATAATAATAATTCAATTAAATTCTTTATTATTTATGTGCTGAGCCAACAGCCGCAAGGCCAATTACAGAGTCAGCACATTGTAGATGGAAGTAGTTACATACTGGACAAACACAACATAAAGTCAAAGACTAATTAAAGGTAGGCATTGGAGGAAAACATATTAATGCATATAATTAAAGAAATACAGTAATAATAATAACATTATCACAAATCTAAGTTGCTATTAACAGTTAAGAAATGAAAAGTATAGATATTCAGAGAGGATAATAATAATAATAATAATGCAAAAACATTCCTACGTAACAGATTAAGGTGTTACCAAGTTGCATTGCGATTCTGAGATTTTATTTCCTTTCGTTTGTTGCCTTCTTTGTTTCTTGTTTTCCTCTTTGTCACCTTCCCCTCCCTTCCCCATTCACTTCCCTCCNGTTTTCTCCGAGTACTTCGGTTTCCCTTGCCAATCTTCATTCCACCAAATTCTCCATCATCATAATCACCCGGGGCAGGTACAATAGGCCAATCAGTGGCCGCCGTGCCGAGTGGACCCAGCTGGACTCCACCCCCCACTTCATTCATTCATCAGTAATCTGTCAAGACGACACGTCCGCAGTATCTTCCAAAACAGTTCCTCCACTTAATGCGATCTAGAGCTCAAAAAGAAATAAATAAATAAATAAAAAATA